CCTGATGTTGACCCCGTTGTGTGTCAATAGAGCTTTCTGTGCTCACGGTTTCCAAAGCCCCAGTAATTACACCTGCAGCAAAAAAGATACTCAAAGGCTGGAGCACGTAGCAGTGGCTGCAACAATGCAAGGCTCAGGGTATATCGTAAATATTACTCCTTTCCCTAGGAAGAGAGGAAATGTGCTGTGCTAGCACAGAGCACATCGGACTACTCCTTCCCTTTATCCAGAGGTGTCTAGGGAATGCTCATTGCGTAAGCATTAATGGGTCACTCCTACAGCAAATGAAATCCCTCCTGCAAAAAGGGTAGTTCTCAGTGAAGCAAACAAAGCAGAAATGCTCGCAGGGCAGCAGAGCCTTTGCCCACACAAGTCTTTTTCTGTGCTTGTGTCTCCTGGAGTTCTGCAAAGGACTGAAATGTGTTCTCAGAAGAAGAATTTGCTGTTTCAGCAGTTGTGTTCGTTTCATTCTCAGCTCTCTTCAAAAGAAAATTCTGAGGAGTAGTTCCACTACTTTGTTTCTAAGCCACCTTTTTTGTTTTCTATCTCAGTACATAAGAGATGATTTTCAAATTTCAAAGGCAAAGTTGTTTCAAAGACACCATTCAGAATATTCAAAAAACGTAGAAACAGGATTTTTTTTTTATATTGGCAATTTTTTTCTTCTTTTTTTCCTCTTGAATGAAAATTCAAGTGAATTAACACAGGTTTACAAATAATTTCACCTTTGACAGACCTGTGTTTTCCAACAGACAGTGGTTCTGTTGAGATATACGTTCAGTTACCCAGGGTAAGCCCTGGGTAGAGTGGAATGGAAGGTCAGATGGCTTGAGGAAAAGCATGTTTTCCATTCTGTAACAGTAATTCTAATCAAAGTTCTTAATCTTGCTCCTTCTTTTAGTCCTAATTTTAATGAGTGTCCCTTGAGTTCTTCATCTACACGGTTTCTCAGTTCCAGTTCAGTTCTCACTGGCAAATCTTAGTGCAGGCTTTGTGTGTTGTTCAGCAGCTACTTTATTTATCATCTTTATAATGTTATGGATAGACATTTAGGGTGATTTGTTAAAAGACGGTACGAGTTTTGTGGGTGTTATTTTCTGTTAGAGCATAAGCTGGTTAATGTGGAGTAACTGGAGTTCATGTGACACCGAGGAGCAGGGAAGCTCTGCTCGGGGTCATGGCTGCCGTCACTCCGTGGTGTTGGGGTCTGTCCCTGCTGTTTGTCGATGGCAGTCTCTGCTTGCCTCCAAGCTGCGTCCTGACCATCCCATTCCTTGTTCCGGTCCCCGGTACTAAAATGCAGCATTTTGAGTTACAGCTCTTGGTGACACTGAGTAGAGGAGCTGCAGAGGAGGGTCCAAGGCTAAAGTGTCGAAGGGGAGAATGGCACCTCCCTAGCAAGGTGTGAGCTGTTGACAATTTTAAGCTAGTGCTGCCTGCAGCTTCTTCCTTCTTTCTTCTTTACAAATGACCCATGGACTCTGGGCTGTTCACCTGGGTTACTTTGGACACAGAACAGGGCTGGAAGGGGGAGGTATCTGTGACCTGACTCGTGTAATGTCAGCAGAGATAGATACATTAATGGGTAGATCCCCTCTCTCCAGCTCAGGACTCTCCCTGCTTTGTTTGTAAGTCACTGTCTTCTGCTTGAAGTCACCTGTAAGTCACTGTCTTCTGCTTCCCCTTGAATGTCTCACTGGTACAGTGACAGCAGCCTTGTCCGTGTCTTAAGTGCTCTGTCCAGGCGCCACCGCTGCTGCCCCCTGTGAAAGCCATCCTCTGCTGTGGCGACTGTGCGTGGAGCGTGCCAGTCCTCTGCTCAGGCCTCTTCCTCTGCAGGGAACAGTGGCCTTTCCTGCAGATCTGTGCAGCTGGAGGCGAGCGGCACAGTATTTGCTACTGTGGGATGAGAGCAAAACAAGGTGAAGAGGTGTGAAAGCTACAGACAGCTTTGGTGGGTGTCTGGTTCTGGATGTTGCACTTGAGCAGAGCAGCAGTGGAAACTACGCAGAGCTTGCAGTTAACTCTGGTCCCGGTTTGTTGCCTTTTAGCCTGTTGGAGCTTGGGGATTTCCAAATCCAAGAAACAGCATCGGCACAATATCTCTGAAGTCTGGGGGTGCAGAGACCTTGCACTAGTCAGCAGAACTGGTGGCATAGGATCCACATACTGGGGACACTGGTGTAGTAGCAGTTTACACCAGTCCATGTGCCTGGCTCAAGGGATATTACATTATGGAGATGCAGAGATATAAGAAGCCCATATGGGTCAAATACTCCCCCAGTTAATGTGTTCAGGAGTCCAGTTTGGCTTACTATGTCTGATGCACAGGGCTAATCTCTTCCAACTAAATGTGATGCGTCCACTGAGCCCCTCTTGCAAGTGACTGAAGACCGGGAATGTGGTGCTGGCCTCAAGGAGCAAAAGCAGGGACATACTGGTTCTTGAGTCATTCAGAGGGCTGAGCCTGGAGGCTGGAAGGTAATAAGGAGAGATTATAGCTCCATAAAACAGCTACACAATGAGAAGAAGCAATTAGAATGTAAATTGGAAGCTGAAAGGCAGGAATAGAACAGCAGAACACCAGGCAAAGGAATTTGTTCTGTAATTACACTGTACAATGTACAGCTTTGACTCCCTTTAGAGTACTTTGTTCAGGTCGAGTGGTACCATATAATGCCCTTCCTACAATCTAGAGCTAAAAAAATAAAAGGACGACTAGGCTGAACCTGGATTAAAGGATTGGAGGCATGAAGAGAAATTAAAGAACCATGATCTGTGTAGTTCACAGACTGCCTGGTAAGGAAGATGAGGCTGAAATGCACAAATCTCATTAATGCCATATTGAATGCCAGCAGATATTTGTACATAATAAATCCCCTATTATTATGAAATAGATAAAAATGTTGAGAGGAGGAAATATAGAGGGTTCCTCCCCCCACCTGCCCCTCACCAAGACAAGGAAGGCCTGAACCACGAACAAAGTTAGTAGGCAACAATGCAGCATTTTCGTTTGCCTACGCACAGATGTTTGGAGTTGAGGATGCTGGTGGCATTAGCTCAAGAGCAATTAGTCTAGGCAAATGCTGGGGGAAAAATGATGTGTCACATCTGATCACTGGCATCCACTGGAGCACCTCCTGCTCTTCACAGCTCTTCCACTCTCTCGAGGACCGACCTTTGGCTGCAGTCCTGAGCATGGCAATGCTCCCCAGGTACCAACCATGACCAGGGATCTCCCTGGGCACATACCGCCCCCGAGGCAGTCCCACCAGAGTCTGACCTGGTTCTGTCATATCCTGGATTGCTCTTAGGTATTGATGCAGTCTGTGGCCAGTGTAGACCAAATAATTACTGTGCAGTCTGTGGCTGTTGGTCAGCAAGGTTTGTGAATGCCCCAGCAGTTAACATGCAGAGCTGCTCAAATTTGAGAGGACTTGCTCGTAAGGAAGAGGGCACTGGAGTTCCATCACACCATTGCTTGTCTCTAGGTCCTTGCTGGTCTCCTCCCTTCTCTCCCATGTCATTGCCACACATGAAGGAGAGCAACTTTGCCTTCTCCTGTTAGTTCTGATGGGCAGTCCACTGCTCTGCCTGGCACCACATCTGCCTGGGCTGCAGAGCAAAGCTCCTGTGTGTGCCTTAATAAGGCATTCCTGTAATTAGTGCTCTGCTGCCTGGAGCACAGGGGCAGGATTCATTTCACTGCATGCTGCTGTGCCTAGGCTATAGACATTGCCACCTGAGCTGGTCAGCTTGGCCTCCCTTTGTAATGGGTGAAGTCATTGACTCCAGGTGAGTTCGGGGCATGGTGGATCTTTCTTACACTACAAGAGGCATCTAGTTCTGCCTGGGTGAATGAATCACGTTCTTAAGCCTGTTTTGCACCACTGAGTGTAAATGGAGCCCCAAGGGGCCACTTTGAAGAGAGGCATGTCTAATAGGGATGTCCAAAATTAGGTGAGATGAGTCCAGCTGTGATGAGTAAAGGACCTGTTTTGTCATCTTTGTTTTTAATTCCATCTTTCTGTTCAGCCTGGTCACAGTCTCTCCATCTTTCTCCTTCCTCTTCCACCTCTCTTCATTGTGCACTTTTTCATTACTTCACAGTCTATTTCAGAGCACAATTTCACAGTGAAACATACTAAGAACTAGAAAATTTCCTCTGGAGGGTTGGGGAGAAGTTCTTGGGGCGCATGAGAAGAAAGCACATGGATACAATATGGAATTTACTGATCTTGACTGCATTTCCTTGAAATATCCCATCAGATTGGCAGCCAAAGTGTTTACCCAGTTACATACACAGAAACGGGAGCATGAACACAAAGGCCCCTGGGCTAGTTGGTACCTTTGCAGCCATAGGGAGGAGCAATCTTTAGTCACAATCCAGAAACTTGGGGATTTTTTTTCTTTTTGTTTCCAGTCTGAGGCAGCAGCAAGCAGCCTGAGAGGAGATTTGCCCTCTCTACAGTGGGAGGAAACCATATATGAAAATTGTAATAAGATCCTTAGATACAGAGGAGTTAAGCATAGCTTGAAAAACAAAGTACTTAACAGTAAAGGGAAGCCACCTGTGGTGCAGAAAGAGGCAGTAAAGCAAAAGAAGGATAAATGTTTGTTACACCTGCTTTCATTTCGAAAGCAAGCAAATTGCACAAGGAACATCTATTCCTCCTGATGTGCAGCTTCAGTTGATCGGGAGACATTTCTCACAGTGTGCTGATGGCATCAATGTCACTGATGCACAGAAAAAGCCACTGTCATTTCAGCCACATTTTGGGAGGTGATAGGTTGCAAGTCCAAGGTTTTAAGGTTTCTGACGGTACTGTGCCATCTCACTGAAAACTGTTTAAAAGCTAGAGAGAACGGAGTAGATTGGTGTCACCTTAGTTAAGGGAACCATAAGTAAATGCTAAGCAGATGGGTACTGTTTCCCCTTCTTTGCGCTTTAAGCGTTACTACCTTGTGCTTCTAATGCCTCCCTGTCTCTTGCCCCACAGCTGACAACGAGAACAATATTGCCTCTAGCCAGCCCAGATCACCTCTAGCTGTTGTTGAAGAAAAGTGGAAACCACAGCTCCAAAGAAATAACGCCAACAATAGTACGTAGCAATGTTTGCTCTTCTGTCTCGGGCCTACCTGTTGGCTTTGAACAAGTGACTGTCAGAGGGGGTACAGCAGTGATGGGCATTGTGCAAGGCCCTTGTCCTCACCTAACTTCACTTGATTTCACCCATAATTCATGTACTGTCCTGCAGAGCACCCACTCCCGTTACAGGAGCACTCATATGCAAAAAGTACTGGGAACCCTGAGGAGGTGGTAGGAAAGGTTTGTAAGGAAGATGCATTTGGGAACTCCTGGAAAAAGTTAACTTCTGATCCAAACCCAGACTTCCTGGCCTGGGGTTAAAAAATTAATCCAGTTTTCATGGTGTGACATAGGCATAACCCGTCACTCCCTGTGCTGACAGACAGCCGGTGTCTGGCTGTATCCCCAGCTTATCCTGTGAACTTGTGCTTCACCATGAGAAAAGGTAAAATACAGTCCTGTGGGAAAAGGCTCCAAAGCATTTGAGCTGAGCAGCCTGGTGGAAGGGTGATACAAAACCACGGTGCTTTTGTGTTCTGGTATGGCCAGAAATGACACTCACATTGCCCAAAATCAACCACAAAAAGGTTGCTGGAGTTCAGAGGAAGAAATGGAAACTTGGGCTTCAGCACGGTTTGAGATGGTGGAGGAAGCAACTCCTCTTAAAATAACTGTCTCAAAGAAAAGGCTTGAATCACAAAAATGGAAAGAAGTCCAGCTTTCGAGCTGGGCGAAGCTGTGACCACCAGCCCATAGACACAGATAGTGAACAGCACACATGAGTGTAACTTACCTAGGCAGTTCCTCAATGAACGCCGCAGAGATGCCATTGGTTAAGGCACTGGACTGTGAGTAGATAGTGTGTGCTCTGTCTCGGTCCCCACACCAGGGAGAGTATGCAGCTAAACTCATTGTTACTCTAAGCAAGAGCAAGGCCTGTCCATGGAGGTTCCTCTGTCCAGAAACCCTTGGGGGAAGAAATCCAGGGTTGGAGATGTCTCTGCCATCATCTGGGCATGTTCCACCTCTTTGGGTGTCTCTCTCAGAATTGTTTTGTGACTTCGTCCCCTCTCCTGTTGCAGAGGAGCAATTCTCACCTGGTGCTTTCTCTCCCTCCTTCTATTTCACTGCAGCATCCACGAGTGGTTCGGTAGGGAACAGCGCGATCCCAGAGAAGGAGCGGCAGAACATTGCCGAGAGGCTCCTGAGGGTGATGTGCACTGACCTCGGGGCTCTGAGTGTGGTGAGCGGGAAGGAATTCATCAAGCTAGCACAGACCCTGGTGGATAGCGGAGCTCGCTATGGGGCCTTCTCTGTCACCGAAATCCTTGGCAATTTCAACACACTGGCTCTGAAGCATTTGCCTCGGATGTACAACCAAGTGAAGGTGAAAGTCACCTGCGCCCTGGGCAGCAACGCATGCCTTGGCATCGGTGTCACTTGCCACTCACAGAGCATTGGCCCCGATTCTTGCTACATCCTGACAGCTTATCAGGTGGAAGGCAACCACATCAAGAGTTACGTCCTGGGAATTAAGGGCGTGGACATTCGAGATAATGGTGATTTTATCCACCACTGGGTACAGAACGTGCTCTCGGAGTTTGTGATGTCAGAGATCAGGACGGTGTATGTCACAGACTGCAAAGTCAATTCCTCTGCGTTCTCCAAGGCAGGCATGTGCTTGCGTTGTTCGGCCTGTGCCTTGAACTCAGTAGTGCAGAGTGTGCTGAACAAGCGAACACTACAGGCTCGCAATATGCACGAAGTGATTGAGCTCCTGAATGTCTGTGAAGACCTGGCAGGATCCACGGGCCTCTCAAAGGAGACCTTTGGCTCCCTGGAAGAGACCTCTCCTCCGCCCTGCTGGAACTCAGTCACCGACTCCCTCCTGCTCGTCCACGAACGCTACGAGCAGATCTGTGAGTTCTACAGCAGGGCCAAGAAGATGAACCTCATCCAAAACCTGAACAAACACCTGCTCAGCAACCTAGCAGCCATTTTGGCTCCAGTGAAACAGGCAGTGATTGAGTTGAGCAACGAGAGCCGGCCCACTTTGCAGCTGGTACTGCCCACCTATGTCAAACTGGAGAAACTGTTCACTTCCAAAGCTAATGACGCTGGCGTAGTCAGCAAACTCTGCCACCTCTTCTTGGAGGCGCTGAAGGAGAACTTCAAAGTTCATTCGGCACACAAGGTAGCCATGATCTTAGACCCTCAGCAGAAGCTGCGGCCCGTTCCACCATACCAGCATGAAGAGATCATTGGCAAGGTCTGTGAGTTGATCAATGAGGTGAAAGAGTCCTGGGCAGAAGAAGCAGAATTTGAACCTTCAACCAAGAAGCCTCGGGCAGCAGGGGAAGCCACAGCAGCTCAGGAAGAAGATTGGTTCGGGAAAAATGAAGTCTATGATTATTTGCAAGAACCTCTCTTCCAGGCCACCCCTGACCTGTTTCAGTACTGGTCGTGTGTTACCCAAAAGCATACAAAACTAGCCAAGCTAGCCTTTTGGCTCTTAGCAGTGCCTGCTGTTGGTGCCAGAAGCGAATGTGTAAATATGTGTGAGCAGGCTCTCTTAATCAAAAGGAGACGGCTACTCAGTCCAGAAGACATGAACAAACTCATGTTTTTGAAGTCCAACATGCTTTAAGACTGTCTTTTAATTAAAACAAAACTTTAAAACACTGTTCCAAACAAAGAAAAAGAATTTTAAGTTCTAAACACTGTGGACCTCATTATGAATGCCCCTGGAAACCAAGTGCTTTTTTATATATAT